TCGCGGGGGTAACGACGACGGCATCGGAGCTTGAATGTATGTGTCTAAACGTTTTTACAATTGTCAACTTTCACAAATTTATGTATTTCCGATGATGGTTTTAGGTATTCGTGATAATTAAACTTCAATTAGGATTCAATGTGTAGTAATTCGTGATAAACTCAATTAGGGTTCAATGTTTTTTCCGATGATGGTTTTAGGTATTCGTGATAAGCTTAATTAGGATTCGTGCTTAGACATTAATCTGTTTTTTTTATTTCCAATTGTCCTGTGAACTGAATTTCTCTTTCATTATAATTTTTTTGTTTGTTTTGTCCTCTTTTGATTCGTCTATCAAATCAAAGATTATGATAAACTTAGATAGAAATTAAGCTAAATACCATTAGGACTTATCTTATTCGTTTTGATCTGTAGGTTAAACGTAATACAGAGTCGGAATATACAAGAAGAAAGTGCAATGACGAATCTTGATAACTTAAAGCGTATCTAGAGGCCATGGTGACAATTATTTTCTCATTTTTTCCCCTAAATCTATTACATAAACATTGGTTTTAATTTGATATTTCTTTTTTATTCGACATATATTTTTGATTTTTTGGATTTTGAAACTTGAGTGATAAGATTTACATAAGTTGTGAAAACAATTCGGACATGACATCCAGCCATTGACCTTGTCTTTGACCGTTAGCGGTGGNATTGACCGTTTTGCATTAACAATGTAACGTGAATTTAACATTCGAGNTTCTCGTTTTTTTATAATAAAACATTTTTTCTTTTCAATTGGTTTTTTTTTATAAACTCAAATTTTATATATTTATATTTTTATCGGATTTTGAAACTTGAGTGATAAAATTTATATAAGTTGTGAAAACAATTCGGACATGACATCCTGCCATTGACTTTTGTCTTTGACCGTTAGCGGTGGTATTGACCGTTTTGCATTAACAATGTAACGTAAATTAAACACTCGAGTTTCTCGTTTTTTTATAATAAAACTTTTTCTCTTTTTAATTGATTTTAATAAACTCAAATTTCATATATTTATATTTTTATCAGATTTTGAAACTTGAATGATAAATTTTATATAAGTTGTGAAAACAATCTGGACATAACATCCTGCCAATGACTTTTTTTGTCTTTGACCGTTAACGATACCATTGACCGTTTTGCGTTAACAATGTAATGTAAATTTAACTCGAATTTCTCTTTTTTTTTATAATAAAATTTTTTATCTTTTCAATTGTTTTTTACATTTTTCGAATTTTACCTTTAATCATGTTATATACTTTTTGATTTTCGAATTTTAGAACTTAAGTTAGTAGTAAAATTTACATAATTATTTAAATAATTCGTTAGCGCTGTTATAATTTGTTTTGTCTTTAACAATACAATATGTAATTTAACATTGGAGTTACTCATTTATGTAATAACACTTTTTTTTA